ACCTATGGGAAGATTTCATTTATGTTCACTCTAATTTATTTCTGCAAAACAGCCCAAAGTAGAACACATTTCCTCTTATTTAGCTTTGAGCATAACACTAAACATTAGTATAGTTTTTCAGGTCACTAAAGGAAGAAAAATTACAGCTGATATGTGACAACATGCAGCCATGTTCAGTCTTCATGTAGAACTCTTGTAACGAGTGAGAAACATTGGGAACTCAGACATTCAGGAACTGCTGAGTTCCAATTATGTCTGTCTAATTGACTTCTTCTATATCTTTAAGCAAGTCACTTAGGCCAATGTTTTGAAACTTGTGTGCCCAAAATTTGGAACCTGAAGACATTGTTAGAAATCTAAAATACATGCAATGAAAAACCTTGCAGAATCCCAGTTCTACAAATGAAATACCACAGGAGCAGATGAAGAAAGGGAAAGAAACTGACTGTGGGGTCGGAGGACAATCTCAGAATATTTCAGACCCATACCAGGCACAGACTCAGCAAATCATGGTGTTCAAAGACAAAGTCTTACAGGGACTACTACCCCCAGAAATCCTAGCCCTGATAAATACCATGTAAAATAGTTATCGTCTGGCAGATACCAGGCCAGTCTATTATTTTGGTAGAAAAATAATAGCATAAAAATTTGGACTGAAGCTAGTATGTGTTTTATATAAAATACTATTTTAAGTCCCTAGTTAACAGTTCTAACTCTCACCAACCTTTCAATCTCATAATTCTGCCCCTGCATCTTGTGCTCTCTGGATTCCAATAACACATACCAGTACTTCTCTCACCTTGAAGGCTGAGTCAATTTCAGAAAAACAGTACATATAGATACAAAATTAAGGAGCTTGAAAACTCCAAGTTCTTAACTCTGACCTTCTATGATAATCTAAATGCTATTACTGAGTAATTGCATGTAAATTAAAATGCAGTCTGTGTCTTTTATCATCATGTCTCAAAATGAAAAATCCATGGAGGACACAGAAAATGCCAAATTCAAAAGAGAGAATGATGTTTTGTGGACAATTCTCTTAAAGCAGAAAAAGAGACTTCCCTTTCTGGTAAAGTTTGTGGTCATCTTTGAGGGTGAGCAATCTTGTACACTCAAAAGATGTAGATTTTTGTACTGCTTCATATCATATAGTATATCTGCAACTAGTATCTCTATGTAATATTTTTTTCTGAAATTATCTCTTCCTTCAAGGTACTTTCTTTTGGGCATCAAACAGCCCCAAAATTCAGCTATTGTTGAGCTCCCTAATTGTTGTGCTATCTTTCTGTGAAAAGGCTGACTTGTGATTAAGGCCCACCTGTGGGGACTCAGTACCATGCTCTGCCACAAATTTCCTGAATAAACCTTATAATTTAACAGACAACACGGGTTCATCTTTTAATATTCATATTCATATTAATCTTTTAATAGATGATTTTTTGCTGATGAGAGAGACACCTTTTTGAGCTGCACAAAGCACTTCTGTTGGTTTGGGAAGACACAGGTTGGACCTTTCTGGTCCGTACCCCTTGGGACATAACTAGTCCCACATGAGGGATTTTGCTGGACCAGGGGAAATAATATCCGGACCCCTTGTTACTGCCCCTCCCCAATCTCCTGACTGCTTCCCCACCCCTGCCCATCACCAGCCCTACTGGTCCCTCCCCTTTTCTCTGCTAAGCCAGGTAGACCACCTCCAGCTCAGCTCCCAGTGTGCTAGGCTCCCACCCCTCTGGGAAGCCCCTCTGTTGTGTACCAGGCTTTAGCAGAGAGTTTTGCAAACAGTAATCCTTTGTAATCTTGTAAACCTCACATAGCCTTTCAAAAGTGGTAAGGTATTCTTCAGTACAGTCTGATCTATTTCCATTTCCCATCTCTAAAATGGAGGTATGTCTTTCTTCATTCTTGCCAATTCTCATTTTAAGCCTTACAGGGCACTTGACTATGCATTTGCAGTTTCTAATATACTGGAGATATGGTTTCAGTTGGAGTCTATAATCACTATGGTAATCTCATTATTATAAAAATAGTGTATTTTTGACCTGGTGGTACTTGCAGTGAAATCAATGGAATTTTTGTCACTGCTTTCAGTAGGAATAGGACAGGTCTTTTGTGGATGTCATCCAATGGAAAGTCACAGACTACAATGGACAAAGTTATGGCATCATCTTTTTTGCTTGCCTCTGAAATATTTTTAAAAAGTTTTCTTATTACAATTACAAAACTTTTCAGATAAAATTACTAAACAACAAAAGTCTTTTTTTCATGTGAGGAGTCTTTTTTATGAGAAATCTCAGGAGAAAGCTCATAACTGCAGGTGCTGCATTCATCTGAAGGATAGAAAGAGGACAGACAATTGAAGGTGAATTCAGTGAGATTTCTAGCACAAACATCTGAATTAAATATTATAAGTGGCAGAACTGAAATGTTATAAAGGGCTTGTAAAGAAAAAAATCTAATTGTGTGACTTCATTAACTTACAAGTACAAGCACTTGAAAGGTTATGTGCAGGTTTTTTTCGTGGGGTTATTCACTATCACAGGTTCTGCTTTCATGGATTGAAAAGAGATTTTGTTGTACATATTTCATTGTGAGTTTTTTCCTTTTCAAAATATGTTTTGCAGAGATCTATTGTACACTGGTTATTGTTGTGCTGTTGTTAAGTTTCTCTCTTGTGAGAGCTCAAAATTCTGTCATCTTTGTTTCTCCAATGTCAAACATCTTTGTGATTTTTATTTCTTGTGATAAAAATTACAAAGAATAGTTATTTGGAAATTAATATACACGCAAAAATCACACAAATCAATCAGTATTTTTTTTTTTTTGCAAACATGCTGTAGACCATATGCCAAGTTATCTGTTGAGTATTTATTTCCTAGCTGGAAGCAGTCAACCCATTAAGAGTTTAAATGTGAGGGGAAATGGAAAGTCTTCCTTCTTCACATTCTTCTTCTCCTTCCCCCTCAGAACAAACCAAGTATTCTATACACATAATTGGTATTTTAATCTAATATTGAAATTAATCAATTAGTCCTAGGGAAACATAGGCATGGAGACACTTCTATACTATTAGTTTATTTAACCCTTTAAATAAGGGAAGACAAGGACCTGAACCGAGGAGTTAGTGGTATAGGTTGGACCATCCCCTGCTTCTATTGTTCTGGGGACCCACTGACTCCACCTGTCCAACCTGCCTATGACAGGCTGTCCAGCTCCTTTCCAGCATACACATATAGACATGGGCACCTACAGCTGAGTCTGTGATCATGAGGGGATTTCTCAGAACAACTACGCATGTACCCTTTTGAGTTTAAATCCAAAATTACATTTTCTTGTATGTGCAGAGATCTGTAAAATGTAAGCTCATGAAAATTACCCCCTCTCTCAATGTAATGGAAGATATTCACAGCTTTTTGATCCCCCAGTTGTGAATTGCATAAACTGGGTTATAGAAAACAAAAAAAAATTATTAACTACACAGAATGCATGTTAAATGACTATAATGGATAACAAATAGAACACATCAGATTATACCCAAAAGATCCTGTCACACTTACATGCTAGGGCTATGCTAGTATCTGGTGTGTCCCAAAATAGCTATCCAGTGTCTTCACAGCAAGCCCATTACTTTGGACTCGCTATTCAGATGTCCCTGTAAACTTTACTCTACAAGGAATAAGGGACGTTTTAGAATAGCACTTTATTTTGAAATTTGGTGCTATGTAGACAGTACCAAATAATAAAATAAGCAATTTCAAAATAGCATCAAAATAAGATATGGAATTTGTGTAGCTTAAATTGCATATCTTATTTCAAGTTATGATGCAGTGTATGATGCAGTGTAGATGCACGGTAGAGCTAGGAATTAAAGTCATGTCTCCTGAGCCTTGTTACACTACTAGAAAATGCTTCCACTCCTTTCTGTCTTCATCTGTCCAGGGTATTTCAGGATGTATAGCTTTGGCTACCTCTGTACACCTTGACCTTGGTAACTTGGATGCAAGGGGGATTCTTATTCCCTGGTCTGGGTATGTAGTCAAAAGTCACAATCTAGCCTCTTGCATTTACAGTTTTCCTTACGTTATTTCTGGAACAGACTGAAATAGCCTCTTGGGCAGGAATTTAACTTTTTTTTAGTTCTCAAAAGCATAAGGGAAATCTGGTTTATCATGATGAAGTGTTGTGTACTTTTTACAGTGAACTTTTACTATTCATATCATATTTTGGACCTCCTTAGGCTTGCCAAGCTCTAATTACCTTCTAGTCACAAAATATGAGGAAATAAATGAGATAGTTTCATTTGGAAGTATAAAGCAGATGCAGAAATACAATTATATACTGAAAATATACAACACATACTTTGTGCGTAGATCTGTTTTGTAAGTGGATTACTATTTGACTAGCTAATCATTTCTGAAAAGATAAGATCACTTTTCGAATAGAATACAAATAGTTTAAGGCATCATGTTTCACACTGTGCTGTAAAGTGTTGCCAACGAAGTACTATTCACCACATTCCTTGCATAATCCCATTACGTCATGCTATGTGATTGACATGACTTAGATTCATTTTGCATTCTCCTTATTTCAAATGCATGGATGTTACAGAGTCATTAAACTCCTTTCAGATTTTCCTTTGTATGCTTCCCACTGTGCCACATGAGCTTCAAACATCATTACTCAAGTAAAGGCTTCCCTAAAAAAATGTTATTATAGGCCATCCTCAGTTATTGAGGTGAAGCTCAGGAGACCCTGAATAACTATTTGGACATTTAGGAAACACAATGTCATTCGTAGCTGTGGTTTTTAGCAGATGATTATTTATGAAAGTACAAGAAGAACAATGTCACTGTGTATTGTGATCCTGCAGCACATTCATTAAACTGGGAGAGCATGAAAGTCTCAATGAGATGTCTGTTATCTAGAATGAAATAGAGCCTAAGAATAACATGATGGAAGAAAATTAGCCAAAGAAAGAAATGTTTTCTCAACATAGTCACCTAGATTTTGCACCATAGGCCGAAGGCAGACCTAAAGCCAGCCTCAGGATTGTCCTACTGAAGGAAGATTTTCTGGTAGTGTAGAGGCAGTGTAGCAGTTACATCTCCACCCAGATGCTGTCATAGGAGACAATAATGAAAGAAAGAAAATGATCAGGACTTTATCTTTTTCTAAATATTAACCACCATATGGAGTTCTTGAATCTGATAACAGCTGTTGTAACAAAGAGGAGAATTGGACTAGAATGTAACTAGCAAACACAAACACAATCTTTTAATCTTAACTGTCCCTACTTCTTCTCAGCCATAGATGAGAATCTGGGCCTACATAAATTAAAAATTCTCTGCTTAAAATAAAAGTGTATTTTTTTTTTAGGAATAAGTTAGTTTTCAGTGACCCCAATTCAAGTATAGTGATCAATTAAACTGCAAGAACATAATTGTGTTTCTATAAAGCAAGTACTATATAATTGCAGGAGACTGATGACATGGAACAAATCTATCGCCTTCAAAATAAACCAATGCATAATGTGATTTGCATTAACCTTTTAAAGTACAAAGTTATTTTTTCTAGCATCTTCAATAAAAAATATACATTGCATACAACATGCTTTCCTTAGCTCAATTATGCAACTGCAAAGCAAACAATAGCATCAGGAGAGAGGAATGCAGAGACATGGGCAGGGAAAGACATATACATTTACAACTGAGATTTAAAATGAATTGAGAAGGCAAGGTAGAGGTAGGTTGTTCAGTTTCTTATATCTGAAGAGGAGAAGATTTTTTCACCTATTGTGGAGAGAGTCAGAGAATAGGCCAAATTTTGATAGGGATGGGGGAAGAGAGAGCCAATAAAAATAAATATTATGGAATATTTAGCTATCAATACAGGTATGTCCACACTAAGCGTTATTTTGAAATATCTTATTTTGAAATAACTCGTCTAGACACAAAATGCATTTTGAAATAGCTTTTTGTTATTTCAAAATAGTGCATCCACATTGATTGGACACTGAATAACACTTAAGGCCAGTTGGAACTGGTTTCGGCAGAGCATCAGGTCAGAAGTTATCTTGTGGCCAGGGCGGCCAGTAGGGCACCCCGGGAAGGGCTGGAGGCCCCCTATTTCGAAATAAGCCTCGACACAGCGCATATTTCAAAATAGCAGTTTCGAAATTGGCACTATTCCTCATGGAATGAGGTTTACCAATTTTGAAATAAGCCCTCTACTATTTCAAATTAATTTCAAAATAGCAGTTGGCTTGTGTAGATGCTAGGAAAGTTATTTTGAAATAACAGCTGTTATTTCAAAATAACTTTGCTGTGTAGACATACTCTAAGTGATTTCACACAGTTTTCTCAAACTTTGCTTCCATAGAAAATATTTCAAAGACTTTATCGAAAAGAAACTGTTTAAAAGCATTGGTGAGCATTAAAAGCAAACAAACAATATGTTTAAAACATATAGTGCATGATATGTTTGTAGTTTTTCTTTTGCATGATAAAGCCTCTATGCTAATCTTTGGAGTTAAAAAAATGTCAAAGTGGATGGACGCTTCAAAAATTACTCCTGAATCAAAAGTCAGAAAACATGCTCTTTCATCCATCCAAACATAGTACATTCTGATATTAGCAAGAACGAATGTACACAGGACATTTTTGAAATTTGTAGCCAAATTCTTCTCTTGCCCATTCCTTTGTGAAGAATTGTGATCCATAATCTGTAACTGACTTGAAATTGTTAGTGAATCTCTAAGTCTGCAGACTGTATGAGAGGCATGAACTGCTTCACCATTTTCTCCTACTTCATGTCTTCATGTGAACTCCAAAACCTAAAAGATGTTAGCCCCCTTCTCTACCTCAACCTCTGGCCCAGTCTGCACCCACGGTCGCATCCAACAGCCCTCTCAGAGCATAAACTCCCTCCCAAATCTTGCACCCTACAACTCTCCCACACTGCAAACTGCTACTCCCCCCCAGCTCCAGCCTGGTGAAAGAAAGTGAGTGAGAAGGAGAGTGAGAAATGGGAGAAGGGGGCATAGAGTGAGTAGGAGGTGGGATCTTGGGGTGTGTCTAGACTACCTAGTTTTGTCGACAAAAGTGGACTTTTGTAGACAAAACTATACCAGCGTCTACACTACCGCTGATTTCTGTCGACATAACGTCGACAGAACTCAGCAGTTTTGTCGATGCTGGTATACCTCATTTTACGAGGCATAACACCTTCTGTCGACAGAACTCTGTCGACAGAAGGTGTTATTGCCTGTAACATTGCGTCCAGACTACGGAGTTCTGTCGACAAAGCAGCTTGCTTTGTCGACAGAACTCAATGTGTCTGGACGCTCTTTGTCGACAGAAGTTTTGTCGACAGTATCTGTCGACAAAACTTCCGTCGACAAAACGCGGTAGTCTAGACGTACCCTTGGAGAAGAAGCGGGACAGGGGTATGGGCACAGAGAAGGGACAGGTTTGGGGCCTTTGGGTTTACACGATTAGACAGTTGGCAAACCTACTGGATGAACATATGGAAGCCCTAGACGTGCCAAAACAGTGCAGCCAGCAGATCACTGGAACCAGTCAGCACAGGCACAGCACTGCCCAAATGTCAGGTTTATACCATCCACACAGGCACCGCTTTTCTGTATGTTGGAGGGTGGTGCCCCATTGACAGTTGTGCTCTAGGGCACTGCTTTGCACTCAGCGAGTCTGTCCTGCTTATACCTATTGTTGTTATACCAATGAGCTAGCAGCAATGGAGTAACATTGTAAACGGGCAAGTAAAGCCATTGCGGAGAAACTAAATGATTTCTTTGCTTCAGTCTTCATGGTTGAGGACGTTGGGGAGATTCTCGAATCTGCACCATCCTTTGTGGGTGATGAATCTGAGGAACTGTCCCGGATTGAAGTGTCATTAGAGGAGGTTTTGGAACAAATAGAAAAACTTAATGTTAACAAATCTCTGGGACCGGATAGCATTCATCCAAGGGTTCTAAAAGAACTCAGATGGGAAATTATCTGTGGTTTGTAACCTATCCTTTAAATCGGCTTCCGTACCTAATGACTGGAAGGTAGCCAACGTGACACCAATATTTAAAAAGGGCTCTAGAGGCGATCCTGGCAATTACAGACCGGTAAGTCTAACTTCAGTACCGGGCAAATTAGTCGAAACAATAGTAAAGAATAAAATTGTGAAGCATGTAGAAGAACATAATTTGTTGGACAAAAGTCAACATGATTTCTTAGAATTATTTGAAGGGGTTAACAAGCATGCAGATAAGGGGGATCCAGTAGATATAGTATACTTGGATTTTCAGAAAGCCTTTGACAAGGTCCCTCACCAAAGGCTCTTGTGTAAATTACATGGCCATGGGATAAGAGGGAAGGTCCTTTCTTGGATTGAGAACTGGTTAAAAGACAGGAAACAACGGGTAGGAATAAATGGTAAATTTTCAGATTGGAGAGGGGTAACTAGTAGTGTCCCCCTAGGGTCAGTCCTGGGACCGATCCTTTTCAACTTATTCATAAATGATCTGGAGAAAGGGGTAAGCAGTGAGGTAGTAAAGTTTGCAGATGATACCAAACTGTTTAGGATAGTCAAGACAGAAGGAGACTGTGAGGGACTCCAAGAAGATCTCACTAAACTGAGTGATTGGGCAACAAAATGGCAAATGAAATTTAATGTGGATAAGTGTAAAGTAATGCACATCAGGAGAAATAACCCCAACTGTACAGTATGATGGGGGCTAATTTGGCTACGACAAATCAGGAAAGAGATCTTGGAGTTATCGTGGACAGTTCTCTGAAAATTTCCACACAGTGTGCAGCGGTAGTCAAAAAGGCAAACCATAATTTTTTTTTTTAAAAAACAAGTGCCCACCCCTTCCTTCCAAACAGTCTGCCTGTCATGACTTCTCAGCAGATTCACACTGTGGCTTCTACATTCTACCTAATACTGTAAATGTGCTTGTCCATGGAGAGTGTAGGTCACTGGCCTATAGAGTACCATGCATACTTACAAGTGTATTAATAATAGTAATAATATTGATTAAAATCCCTGTCACTGGTTTAGGTGTCCTTTACTTTATAACAGAGTGAGAAATATAGATGATTATGTTACCCTCACACCCTCTTGATCCTGAAGCTAACTGCTTATACCAATGACTCTAATTTTGCACATAGCATCTGGGCCAGGGACTAAAAAGAAAGTGGCATAGGAGTCCCTGCACCGAGAATCTTCAGGGAGCTGAGCTACTTGGTTCATGGTACCTTTGGACAAAGAAGGGTAAGAACAAAAGCATGTTGCAGTGTCCTACTACTAAATGCACAGGATATATATTCTTACTGAAATAGAAAATAATTGTAGCATATAAAAATGAATTTCGACATCTAGGTCATGATCTTTCACTGAATATTCACTTTCAAATTTGTTTTGAATCTCCTTAGCTACTGTGCAACTGAAATCTCCATGTTAGACTACAAATAAAAGCTTTCTCATTATGGGTCAGATTCAAATACTGCTAAGCTGTGTCTACATTGGCATCCCTTTCCGGAAAAGGGATGCTAAGGAGACACTTCGGAATTGCAAATCCGCGGGGGATTTAAATATCCCTCGCGGCATTTGCATTTACATGGCTGCCGCTTTTTTCTGGCTCAGGGTTTTTGCTGGAGAAAAGCGCCAGTGTAGACGCGATTTTCCAGAAAATAAGCCCTTATTCCTACTTTCAAGGGATCATCCGGAAAAGGGCTTATTTTCCGGAAAATCGCGTCTACACTGGCGCTTTTCTCCAGCAAAAACCCTGAGCCAGAAAAAAGCGGCAGCCATGTAAATGCAAATGCCGCGAGGGATATTTAAATCCCCCGCGGATTTGCAATTCTGAAGTGTCTCATTAGCATCCCTTTTCCAAAAAGGGATGCCAATGTAGACACAGCCTTACTGAAGATAACTAGACTAATGGGACTGGTAATGGATTGAGGTTCTATTCAATATGAATAAGAAAATCAGAATCTAGCACCACACAAAAGAGTCACTCATGGCCTTTACAAATAGTTATCAACATTTCTCACTGATGCAAACACAACAAATTCACTCCAAGTCACTCCAAACTGAAACTAGTATA